CTTGATAGGTGGACAAGGCCCCTTTCCTTTCATGGTCTTTCTCCTCAAACACACAGCCCCCAGTTTCATCAGAAAAACATCAGACCAATCCTCATCGAGGGACAGGCTACAAAATATAGCATCGGTTCTCTTCCAAACCAAGACGGTCTTCAAAGACAAGGAAAAGTCTGAGAAAGGCTCACAGCCCAGAGGAGCCCAAGGAGGTATGGGATCCCCGAGGGACTCCTGGGACAGAAAAAAGGACAAGACGGGAAAACTAAGGGAATGTGAATCCTCAAGTACAAACTTTAGTTAATCATGCATCAAAATTAGTTCATCAATTGTGACAAATGCACCATCCCGATAGAAAACTTTAAGACACGAAACCATACGTGATCCCCTGAATTGGATTGTGGAAGGAAAACTTGCATTAGTGGGATAATTGGTGAAATCCCAGGAAGCGCCTGGAGTGGGTTAAATACAGGGTCGCTTTTGGAGTTGTGACCAACGTGCCAAATGACAGATCACATCAATATCGACCAAGTGGGAGAAACTGGGTGAGAGGTATATGGGAAAGGTAATTGAGGAACATTTTCTTTTGGGGGAATTCTGGAAAGCCAGTTACAATAATAAGCTCACAGATAAATGGGATCATGGCACACAGCAATTGCTCGGCTCCTACAGTAATGGGTAATTCTTTCCCATTATTTTCCTTTTTCTGATCATGGAAATAACTCATTCGACCTTCAGCAGGGCCTTGGCCCTGAGGTTTAAGAATACTGAACCATATGAAAACGAATCAAAGAGAAAGAGAAGCTTAGCCATAACGCCACTCCCCACGGCTAAGTCAATGTATTAAATTCTGGACTTTCCCCTGAGCCTGTGCAATCACTTATATTTACATTTTTATTTATTTTATTTTTTTAAAAGACTTTATTTCTTTATTTGACAGTAGGCAGAGAGACAGGCAGAGAGAGGAGGAAGCAGGCTCCCCACTGAGCAGAGAGCCCAATGTGGGGCTCGATCCCAGGACCCTGAGATCATGACCTGAGCTGAAGGCAGAGGCTTAACCCACTGAGCTCCCCAGGTGTCCCTATATTTAACTTTTACACGGACAAGAGACGAGGCCCTACATTTCAGTAACATGGTCACTGTGGATACACTGTGGACTTCTCTCTGCGTCAAGGTCACCCCTGCTCCGTGCTCTTCGGGATGGCTGGGGAGCCTGCTCTGCAAGACGGACGGAGTGACTCAGTGATCATTCCCTTAAGATGGACCTGAAGTCATTGCCAGTTTTCTCCCCACCATCCACACCTTTATGAGCACATGTGAGAATTTCTGCAGGACAGATGCCCGGCCACAGAACTGTGTGTGCCATGGCACCGTACTGCCAAATTGCCCTGACTGTCCTCAGAACTGGCTGGCTTGGGGCACCTAGGGGGCTCAGTCGGTTAAGTGTGTGCCTTCAGCCCAGGTCACGATCTTGGGATCCTGAACTTGAGTCCCGCATTGAGCCCCCTGCCCCTACAGTTCCCCCTTCTTGTACTCTCTGTCAAATAAATAAATAAAATCTTAAAAAAAAAAAAAAAAAAAAAAAGAACCGCCTGCCTCCACAATGCTCAAAGGTACCTGGGTGGTGAGAGCTTCCCACGCTTGCCTTTGTCTCTTTGGTGATGTCTGTCCTTGATCGAGGCAGCTGTGGGTGGCCATTGTGACATCACAGGTGTGGGGGTGGGACGGGACACCACCTCAGGGGACAGTACGGGATGTCCCTCTGGATTCAGCATGTGTTTGAGATGGCAGGAGTCTTGGCAATCGGTACTGTGTTTCTCGGCCTGGGTCCATACCCAGCAGAACTGGGGCAAGTAGGTGGGGAGCGGGTGCCTGATGTTACCAAAATCATACTATGGGACCATGACTCTGTGGTTGGAAATTGACAATAAAAGTGTGTAATCGTAAAAGCATCCGTGTACCATTCATTTCTTCGTGAGACAAATAGTAGGGTTACTGGTTACTGGTTACTGTCTGTAGGAGGACTTGCTACGGTGACCAAGAATCCCCTCCTGAGCTCACAAACTTAATTCCACTTGGAGACACAGAGCACTGTAAGCACCAGGTAGTGGCAAGTGCTACTTCCTTCAGGGTAACAGCTAGCCGCACTAACAAACTCCAACATTTCAGACTCCAGACTAGGGCCAATGGCCCCTCTCCTTCCCAGGGCTTATTTCTGTAGCGATTAGATTTAACACGTCTCGCCCACGAAACTGGAAGGTCCTGTTTGGGTTCCAAGCTTTTCCTGTCCCCCTGCCAAGCCTTCACACCAGCGGACCACCCCCACCTGTCAAGTCAAGGGCCTCCTCAGAGTGGCCCTACTCAGACGTCCCAGTGCCCGAGTTTCCTGCCAGCCACTCTGCCCGCCATTTTCGTGTGTATTTGCACTCAACTTCAGAGTCTTGGGTTTGTTGAATGATTCACTTGCATGCTGTCTGCCCCAACGAGAATGTAAGCTTCTTGGGGGCAAGAACTCCCATCTCTCTCGCTCCTGCTGTAGTCCCACTGCCCAGAATCGTGCCTGGCACACAGTAGGTGGTCATTAAAAACCCCAATGAATGAGTCCTTTGGCCTCTATGGCTCAAACTTCTCATCACTCATCAGAACCCATACCAACACACCATCTCATGGGGCTCCTCTGGGACGGCGCAGGTTACCTTTACAAAGTAGTAAGAGTTGTGAAACTGGATCTATGCACACACCAATAAATGAAGAGGTATTTCGGACTTACTGTGTGCCAGGTGAGTAACTCTGAGTAACTCTGTGGACTTCAGCTTCAAGGTCACGGTCTTCCCACCTTGATGTGGCTTGGGGAGTAGGGATCTGGAAGCTTCCGGCCACATCCCATCTGAGGCAAAAAGCACTAACTATCCACTGGCCCCTTTCTTCCTCTGGAGAGCCCAGCTTTATCCCAAGGGGCAGGGGGCTCCTGAAGTAAGACAAAAAGAGCAGAAGGGAAGTTGCTGGGGGTTAGGGTGTCTGGGAAAGCTCTTTATGTGATAATGACTCCTTTTGCACCCCACCCCCTCCTCTTCTTCCATCCTGCTTGCACAGAGCACAGGGTTGAATTTCCAGCAGGGCTGAGGCTAGCCCTAGTGTGCCTTTGTTATAACTAGAAAAATACTTCCACTGTGAGTAGTCAATTAGAAAACAGCTCCTGTGGGCAGAAGCCTGCCTGTGGGTGCTGGGCCTGGCTTGGCAAGCAAAGCACAGGCTGGGTTTCAGTTCCCATTCAGTCCCCTGGCTGGGAGCTTTGAGCAGTACGCGAACTACACAACTGTCCATGGCAGCCCTGATTTTGGACTAGGAGGCAACCTTAAGAATGGAAAGCGCTTGCTGAAGCCAGGCCCTTCAGAAGGGTGGAGTTCCTGTAGCAACCTTGGAAGACCTTCCTCCTAACTTCTTTTCCTTTTTTTTTTTTTAAGTAGTTTTAATAATTTATTTGGAAATCACTTCAAAGTTACATAAAAGTTGCAAAAACTATACAAAGAACTCCCCTTCATCCAGACTGGTCTAGTGTTGCCCTCCCTCCCCCTCTTTCCCTAAGTAGATACACACTTATTGCTACTGTTTCTTTCTGAATTGCTTGATAGCAGCTAGCAAAATCACTCTTACCATGCCTACATACTCTGGCATGTGTGTCCCCAACACAAGGACAGGATCTGCCAAAGCACCTCTGACTTCTTCAGTAAAACCTCAAACTCCCATCCAGAAGTCAGTTCAGTTTTTGGTTGTAACTAATCACCTCTAATTCTAACTGCCACTGTCTTTATCCCTAAGACTCGCACAGGGCGCGGGAACAATTACACAGAGCTGGGCTGGCTGTCTCGCCCAAGCTGGCCCGTGCTCCCTGCCCCGACCACAGGGTCCCTCTCCGATTCCACACACGTGCCAACCAGCTCTCAGCATTGGGACTTTTTTTTCCCCAACTGTGGTGAAATTCACTTAACAAAATGCACCATTTTATTTGTTCATTTCACGGACAGAGAGCACAAGCAGGGGGAGCAGTAGAAGGAAAGGGAGAAGCAGACTCGCCGCTGAGCAGAGAGCCTGATGCAGGGCTCCATCCCAGAACCCTGGGATCATGACCAGAGCCGAAGTCAGATGCTTAATGACTGAGCGACCCAGGTGCCCCCAAAACGCACGATTTTGAAATGAAGAGTTCAGGGACATTTAATAAGCTCACACGTTCATCGCCCCAGAAAGAAGCCCTATGCCCACTAGGTGGTCATTCCTCATGTCCACACTCCCCAGCAGCTCCCCGCCCCCACCGACATGGACTGGTGTGTCTACAGATTTCTGTCTTCCGGACACTTCGTATAAACAGGAACCATGCTATGTGCTGCCTCAGAACTTTGCAGCTGCTGTTCCTTGCCCCCCGCATGCTTCTCCCTCCTCCAACCTTGACATATCCCTTAGGAATTCCCTTCACCAGAGCTTCCTTAGCAGCCTTCCTGGCGCCTCCTGGAGGTCAGGCCCTCCCCAAACTCTCACACCCTCAGAAACCTGCCCCCCCCCGCCACCCCCGTAAGTGGCCCTTAGTGTTTTTCACAATTTCAATTCCTCTGTGTGGTTATTTCATTCCTACTTCCTACAGTTCAGTTACAAAGCTGATCAGGCAAGAACATGTCGGCCTTATTTGTCCCTGGATGCCAGGGCCTAGCCCAGAATCGGGCACCTAGTAGGGAGGTGTGCAAAAATTTTGTGTTCACTGAGTAGCTGAGTGAGGGACAGACGGAGAGCCCTTTGCAGAGAGGCCCCTTCTTGTCTCCTCTGGGTTGGTGACCTGGTTGGGGGCGGAGGTCCCCACCTTGAGCCGAACGGCCCCACCCGGTCCCCCCCCAGGGGCCTCCCACACGCCCATATATGGACTCAATCAGGACCCCTGCAGCCTGGCGGGGGCGGTCTGTGAGGTCCAGGCCTCTGCGACCTCACAATGCCCTGGGCCGCCCCCCGTGTCTATAAGAGGCCCAGGCGTCGGCCCCGGGCTCACAGCCCACGAAGTTCCACCTGCCCACAGGTTGGCTGGCTCAACCAAGGAGGTCCCTCTGCTCTGAGCATCCGGGCCAGTTCCATCCAGCACCATGGCCAGATACATATGCTGCCGTAGCCACAGCCGGAGCAGATGCCGCCGCCGGAGACGCAGATGCCGCAGACGGAGGAGGCGGTGCTGTCGGAGGCGGAGAAGGAGAGGTGAAGGGGCCCAGTGGGGAGCGGAGGGGGAGCCGGGTGGGTGGGTGGGGTCCCTGCCGTGCTGAACCTCCCTGTCTGTCCCCCTGGCCTGTCCCCCACGCCTCCCCGCACAGTGTGCTGCCGTCGCTATACCGTGTTGAGATGTCAGAGAAGATGAACGCACAGAAGAAACCGGTCCACCGCACCCCTGCCTGCCGTGCCACCAGCCGCCAAGACCCTCCTGCCGCCTCATGAACATGCCACCGGCCCAATGACATGAACAGGAGCCTGCTAACGAACAATGCCACCTGTCAATAAATGATGAAAAATCATTCTCGCCTCTTTGCCTTGAGGGGGTTGGAGGGAGGAAGGGCTGGGGGAAGAGGGGACACGAGTGCCAGCGGTTGGTCGGCTCTTGGTCCAAACTCTGCACTCTGTTCAGGTCACTGCATCTTATCCCTCCACCTGCCCCCGTGTCCCCTCCATAACCACCCCTTTGGGAGCCCTAACCCCGGGGTGGGGGGTGGCACAGGAGCTGGGTCCTCTCGGTGCTCCATGGCTTCCTGGGGACAGCTTGACATGGGCTCAGGGCTGGCTCCCTGCCCTCAGAGAACCAAGGAAACCTTTACCAGCTCAAGCTCTGGTTCTTGTCCATATCCCACTACTTCCCCCACGTGCCCACCTTGGTTTCCTGTGCTGAAAATACCTCCCCAGTAGAGGAAACTAGGTGACTGTCCCACCTCGCCTGCCCACCTGTCCGCTCCTCCAATGGGCCACACGTGAGCCGTGGAGATGGTTCACGAGACTCGTGGACACTGAGTCAAGTGGACCTCAAAGAGCCTGTCGATTACAATCCTTACATGGTGGCAGAGCCCAGCCCACAGGGCGGCAACTCAGGGACCAGGAGTTCAGGGACTGTGTCCTTAGCACCTCAAACATCCCTGGCCATGACTTTCATCGAACATCACGGGTTCATCACACTTGGGTCTCGCATTGACCTTGCAAGACAGGAATAGATGACAGAGAACCCGCTTGCATGACCCCAATCACTAGATGGCTTCCAGGATGGCTGGGCCCAGGCCCCCCTCCCCATTCCCTTGCAGCTGAGCAGACTTTTGTAAGTAGATCAAGCTCCAGCCACGGAGATGGGGGTGATCCCTTCATACTAAAAGGCACCAATCTCAGGGACACTAGTAGCCACTGATCAATACTAGGGCGAAATTAACAAACTATCACTTCATTGCTGAAAACACAAAATTTATTCTGTTTTGCAGGACAGGATTCCAAAATAGTTTGAAATCAAGGTGTGGGCAGGGCTGTGTTTCTCCGAGGGAGTATAATCGGTTTCCTTGCCTTTCCTAGATCCTGGAGACCCGCTGTGTTCTCTGGCTCACAGCCCCCGTGTGACCCCACTGGACCCACCCGTCACACATAAGGGAACCTCCACAGGGGAGATGCCTCATTCTGTCGCCCCGATTCTGATTCTGGGTTTTAATGGGCTCATCAAAGGACCTCGAGGCCCAGGTGACAAGAAGACGGCCCCTTATTTGCACAGTGACCTTGAGCGAGTCACACGACCTCCCCCATGCCTGTCTTCCGGAAAAGAGGAATTGTAGAAGGAGCGCACGTATGGAAAGTCCCTGACCCAGCGCCTGGCCCTACAGTGACGTGTGAGGGGACTGGTCAGGCCAGGGTGAGGACAATGGTGGGGTGGGGCCCCTGAGTCATAGTGGGGGGCCCCCTTTATATACAAGGCCCCAAAGAGCTGCCCAACAAACCAGTCCAACGTTAACAGCAGGAGCAGGCGAGCAGGCCTCAGCCCTCCTCCCCCACCCCCACAGCCAGCTGCAGCCTCAGCCTAAGCCCCCCGCCCCACCAGCACGATGGTCCGCTGCCGTGCACTGAATCCAAGTGAGCGTCCGCAGCAGGGGCAGGGCCAGGGGCAGCAGAGGGAGGGGCAGCAGCAAGAGGGCCAGGAGCTAGCGCAGGCACAGGCACAGGCACAGGAGCAGACAGTGAATCAGGAGAACGTCCCAGTGGAAAGAAGGACCCACAGGGACCGTCATCACTACAGGCACAGGCACTGCTCCCGGAGACGGCGGTACAGGGTCCACAGGCGACGGCGACGCTCCTACTGCAGGAGGTGCCAGAGATGGGCTTGTAGGCGCAGGAGGCACCGCAGAAGTCTGGCGGGTCCCCGCCCCGGGTGCACCCCACCCCTGGGGACACCCTCTCCCCGCCGCCACCGTCACCACCGAGCCCAATCCCCACGGCCTGGTAACCTGAACTCTTTCCCAAAAGGCTCCAGGAAGGTTGGGAGGAGGAGATACAGAAGGCGGCACTAAGCCTTCCTGGGGCCATTGAAGCCCCGGGTGGGATTTCGGGAAAAGTCACCCACCAAAGCACCACCTTGTGAGGCCACAGCCATCCCCCTGACGCCGGATGCCAGAGCCCACCTCTGGACTAAAATGAGCAAAAGCCATCTGCCAAATAAAGCTTGAGATAATAAACTTGACTCTCAGAGTCTCCTCTTCGTCGACTAAACCCCGTACCATGCTGGCAGGTCGCCCCGTGACACTGTGGGTGCCCTCCATCACCCAGAGCCAGGGTTTCCTGCTGGGCCTTGCTATTCCACCTTCACGACTATTCGGGGGTGCTGGGTAGCTGGGGAAATTATGAATTGTCCTGAGATGGGCAGCAGGTCTGGCATGCTCCAGCAGCATGGAGGGAACCAAAGCCCCTTGCTGGACGGAATGGGCCTGGTGCACTATCCGAGGTCCTGCATTACCACACACAAATTTTAAGGCCCTGTCAGCAGCCCATGCTCTCTCTGGAGGCTCCAGGATAGAACCCATTCCTGCCTCTACAGTAAAGCTCCTCTTAGTGCTCTAATCTCTGCTTCTGTGAGCACACTGCCCTCCTGTGTGAAATCCCGAATCCCTCTGCTGTGAGTACATTAAGGGCCCACCCAAATAAGCCAGGCCGGTCTCCCCACCTTAAGAGCCCTAGAGAGTCATGATTCAGCTGTTTTATTTGGGGCAGAAAATTTGCTGGAAAACCAAAGTGCTGACAAAGCATCCCTCCCATGCTGAAATTGTGTAGTATGGGTATGTGTCAGGAGACCTGTGATCCCCAGACAGGAAAGAGTTACTAGGGGTTTCTTTAGTTTTCCAGGAGCATAACTTATACATAGAGGATGAGTTTTCAGTACACCTGCGTGGCCTCCCCCACTGGCCCCTGGGTCAAGAAACCAGACATTTCTAGCCCCTCCCCTCCCTTGTGCCGACTCCCCCAAAAGTAGTCACTCTTCTGACCCATCTTCACGTACTGTCAACAGCTCCCTTGAGCTGGGTATTTCTGGAATGTGGGAAGGAGTCTGTGGGCTCTCCTGCTTCTGGAAGTTCTACCCCAACTGTTATCCCAGATGAAAGGGGAACTTTTGCCAGCACACATGAGGCCTGGCAGAGGAAGGAACGTGGCCAGGCAAGGCAGCTGGCCTGGAATCCTCTTTCCCAGCTTGCAGGTGGTGGGAGCTCAGGGGGGCTGCTGGTGGTCGGGGTTTGAGGCAGGTGTTGGCCCCGGACTCGGGTATCCAGGGGGGGGGGGGGGGGGACTCCAGGGGCCCCTTTGTGAGGTCATCGCCCTGCCTGCTGTTCTCACAGCCCCTGCACTCCCCCCACCCCTCAGTGGCCTTCCTGCCCAGTCTGGAGAGGCAGCCAGAGAGGGCAATGGGTTCCCGTTGTGCCAAGCTCAGCACAGGCCACAGCCGGGGCCACGAATCGTCCATGAAGAAACTCGTGGCCTGCGTGAGTCAGGATAACTTCTCCTTGTCGTCCGAGGGTGAGGAGGAGGAGGAGGGAGAGGAGGAGGAGGAGGAGGAGGAGGAGGAGGAGGAAGAAGAAGAACTCCCGGTACAGGGCAAGGTGCTGCTGATGGAATCTGAGCGGCAGGAGGAGGAGAGCACTGAAGAAGATCCTGTGGCCCAGCAGAGCCCCAAGCCTGAGCAGACGCGCTCCTGACCCACGACGGTGGCCCAGGGAGAGGGGCTTGCCACTGCTCCAGCGAGAAGAACTTTCAGAAAAGACTCAATAAAAAGTCTCCGAGGGCTTTAGCTCTCCTGTGGTGCGGTGCATTTGTGTGTGTCTGTGGGGGGGGGGGGGGGGGCTGAGGGGCAGGAGTCTGTGACTCCTGTTCCTGAGTTTCAGCCACAAGTTCTCATGCGGCCCACCCCCATGACTCGTCAGCCACCCTCCCCTGCTTCAGGGGCTGGGGAATGTGGCAGCCCCAGCTGGGAGTCCACCAGTTCTGTCTGGGGGGGTGGGTGGGATGGAGAGTCCTGAGTCTGGGCAGATGCAGGGGGGAGCACCCAGGGGCCCAGTGAGCTTGGGAGCACCAAAGACCCGGGCTCCAATTTCTTTCTGTGTGACCTTGAGCAAGCCACTGTCCATCTCTGAGCCTCAGCCTGCCCACCCTGTTGAAGGCTGAGACTGACCACTGCCTCGCAGGTAAGTCATTAGGGAGAAGTAACCACAGGGTGGGGGGATCTGGCCCCGCACACCAGAAGTGCTGCTGGTGCCCCTCGGGGCCCTGGTCTGGGGTCAGAGCACAGGGAGGGGACTCAAGTGCTCTGCTACCAACCTCAGTCAAGGGGACAGCCTGGGCCACAGCCCAGCCCCGCCAGAGGCTCACTCCTGCCTTCATCAAGGGGTCTAGCTGCCACGGCCCTCATCACAGCAACAGGCAGCCAGAACCCAGAGACACAACAGGGCCCTGTGTCCACTCACTCTGGCCTTCGAGAAGCCTCAGACTGTGTCTGTGGCCCATCCTTCCCCAGCTACCTTGACCGTCCCCTTCCCCAAAAGAAAGGACAAATGCCTTCTCCGTCCCCCGGCCTTTCCCCAGTGTCCCAAGTGCCAGCCACCTGAGCCTGAGAAGGATCCTGATCAGGGCTGCTGGGGAGGGGGGTACAGGGGACACAGTGTTTCCAGGAGAGTCTCAGTTTCTTGGGGAGCTGTACGCGAGTGTAAGGAGGTGCCCTCGGTTACTCCAAGAGGAGGCAGCCACTGAGGTCTGCGGCAGGTGGGGGGCAGGCGGCAGGTGGGGGGCAGGCGGCATCTGAAGGAAGAGGCCCGGCTGTGGCTTGGTGGGTTGGAGTGCCCACACAGTCCTTTGCCAGCAATGGTGGAGCCCCTGCTGTAAGCCAGGCACGATGGGCCCTGAGATCAACAAAACACTGTCTCTGTCCCACTGTGCTCTGGAGGGTGGGGATGCGGGCAGTCTGCTGCGGTGGGTGGTAGGAGGGTAGGGAGCAGAGGTTAGGGGGGAGCAGGGG